GGAGGAGGAGGAGGAGGAGGAAGACAACTGCGGGGTCCTTGGTGCTCTCTGAGCTTGATGGAGATTTTTTTGAAGACATTTCATTAACCTCACTATGTAACATCATCAGTGCTAGAAGGAAGTGGGGTTTGCTCTCTATGAGCACTGATCATGCTACCCAGTTAGGTCACGAAACGCTTGCAAGGAAACCACCAAGCTCAGAGACCCCCAAAGACCCTCACTCCTCCTCCTCCTCCTCCTCCTCCTCCTCCTCTTCCTCTCCACAATCCCCACTCGCTTCTAGCACTGATGATGTTACCTAGTTGGGTCATGAAACATCTGCAAGAAAACAAGAAAGCTCAGGGAGCAACAAGGACCCCCACAATTAAAAGGTGGGTGTGTCTGCGCGAGAGAGAGAGAGATCATACCTGGCTGAAGTGTTTAGCACCTGGATGATGTGATGGAGAGGATGTATGTGATGTGTTATGTGTATTTGGGGACATGGAGTCTCTCTGAAGATAGAGAGGCATGCTTGCAACTTACAGGCACGAAGTAGTCCTTGACTTACAACCGGTTGCTAAGCAGCCCTTCAAAGTTACACCGGACTGGGTAACGAGTCTCTTCAGAGTTTTAAGAAACAAAAACAAACCCTCACCCCTGTTCTTTTTCAAATGCTTGCATTGCCCCCTAGCGATGCAAAACATTTCAGCTGCCAGAATTCTGGAGCCCCCAGGACTAGAAACTTGAAATGGCTTCTCTTGTGATTTAAAAAAAAAATATTTAAAAAAATGCCCCCAATGCAAGCCATTCAGAGGCTGATCTTTTTTGGGAACCTGGGCCAGACAAGCCTTGCCAGGCAGATCTTGCCCATTTAGCAAGAAAATCAAAGTTGCATCCTGGTTACCTGACTTTGTGCAAGCTTGAGAAAATCACGGGACGGAGGGTGGGGGAGACCAAGAAGAGAAATACAAATTGGGGAAGACTGGCTGGGAACAATATTTTTGCTCTCTGCAGAAAAATTGGCCAGTCCTTCCCTTAGAAGTGGTGCCAGGTAAATTGCGCCCCACTGATTTGAGATTTTTCTGTGCCCAGCAGGGCCTTTGGATTGCGTATGTGTGTGTGTGTGCAACAAGCCCCCCCCTCCATTTCCACCCCAACCAAAAACATTTCCTGTGGTTTCTGCAACTTAACTCCTTTATTTGCTGGAGGATGGGGGAAAAAATCAGGTTGTTTTATTGCATCTGTCGCTTCATCACTACTAAGACTGTTTCTAAGGACCCGACTGGATGGTGGCAGTCACAACTTTGCAAAAAAACAACAACAACAACCTTTTGTCTAGATTTTGAGGGTTTTAAAGTCTTGGGATGCCACAGGGCAAGCAGAAAGTCCCAGGTTCGAAAGGTGACATCTCTCGACTTCAGTTCAAATCAAATAGCAAGGTGCTACGTTAGTATTAGGGCTGGTTGAACATCCAGCCAGATGTTTAGACTGGATTTGGCATTTTCGTCTGCCTTATTGAGTCTTTCCCAAGGATTGGACAGGTGTGGTTGTTTGATGGTGTTAATGGTATCATCTTTCCTGCCTAAGCAGGGAGTTGGACTAGAAGACCTCCAAGGTCCCTTCCAACTATTCTATTCTATTTCTCGTTCTGTTCTGTTCTATTCTATTTTATTTCTTGTTCTGTTCTATTCTATTTTATTTCTCATTCTATTCTATTCTATTTTTTATTCTATTCTATTTCCCATTCTATTCTATTCTATTTCTCATTCTATTCTATTCTATTTCTCATTCTATTCTATTCTATTTCTCATTCTATTCTATTCTATTTCTTATTCTATTCTATTTTATTTCTCATTCTGTTCTGTTCTGTTCTATTTTTTATTCTATTCTATTTTATTTCTCATTCTATTCTTTTCTGTTCTATTCTCTTTCTTTCTATTCTATTTCTCATTCTATTCTATTTCTCATTCTATTCTATTTCT